TGGATGTGTGCTAGTTAGATCCCATTGTATGCTGCCATGGATTGGTGTCAGGAAAACGGGAAATTGTATACTTACCTATCGGTCATTTTCCTTTCCTAACGCCAATACATGGCAGCATACTGATGGGGGTGGAGCTATACCCATTGTTATGCTGCCATGTTTGGTGTCAGGAAAGAAAGTTTTATATTGGGGTTTACATACACTTTAAAACATGCAGTATAAAGAGAAAAACTAAGCTAAACCTTAAAGTACTGTAGATGTAAACCCTAAATGAAGGACATTTAAGGGCCCATTTTTAAAGCACCAGTAAGGCCTTACCAGAGCCATACCGCTGCTTTAAAAGAAAAACAACACACATATATAAAATACAGTGATGTGCATTATAAGTCTACATTGTGTTCCACTTTGATGCTATGAAGGAAGTAGAGTGCAATAAAAATGAATGGAGAAACAAAGAAGCCAGGAGGAGAGCTCAGTCATGTGACTGTGGATTTAGCATTATGGCTGGAGTAGACCTTTAACTAAGTGAAAGTGGTTCTGCAATCCATATATAATCCTATAATTGTGATTATTTTGTCTTCACACTTTCCTAGGTTACAGAAAGAGGTGAGACTGGCTCAGGAGATGACATACAAGGGCAACCATCATCAACCCTGCAAGATGGTAAGAGAGTGAAAACTCACCCACAAAACCATAACTGCACATGAACTATAAATTGATCACAGACACAGTTTTGATTGTCAGCTACAAAAGTTTCAAAAGGAATTTTTTGGATTGGCAGTGTAAGTGAATGGAATTATCCAATGAGCAAAGTCATCTGACAGGGCTGGAAATTTAGAACTGTTGACAATCCTATAAACCAGAGGTGCACTCTGCAGGGAAGGTCTCAGCATTGGCTACAAGAATATGATTTTGATGGTCTCAGATTTTCTTATGCAGTTCTCTATATCAGCCCTTTTCAACCAGGGTGCCGTGGTACCCCGGTGTACCTTCTGGCTTCCTCAGGGGTGCCTTGAAATGTTGTGGTAGTGGGACTGTGATGTGAAGGGGGGAATAAAGACTGAGGTGAAGGAGGCTTCTGATGTAAAGAAGAAACTCTGTTCTGAAAGGGGGGAGTCATATATGAAAATCGGGCTTCTAATGTGAAAGTGGGGCTCCTGATTTAAAGGAGGAACGATGATATGAAAGTGGGGCTTCTGATGTAAAAGGGGGCTCCTGATGTGAAATGGGGGCTCCTCGTGTAAAGGGGAAATGCTAATAGGAAATAGGAAAGGGGGAACTCTTATATGGGGCTTCTGATGTAAAAGGGGGCCACTGATGTTAAGGGGGAAAACTGATATGAAAGTGGGGCCCCTGATGTAAAAGGGGCTCCTAATGTAAAGGGGGAATGCTGATATGAAAGTGGAGCTTCTGATGTAAAAGGGGGCTACTGATGTAAAGAGTGACTCTGATGTGAAGGAGGGGTATCTTAACTTGAAGGGGACACTCCGATGTAAAGGGGGAAACCCACTGTTTTGTGTTTTTTTGCATGGTGTCCCACTTAAAAGCAATGACATTTTAGACTGGGGTGCCTCTGGATTTTGCATACGTTTAAAGGGTGCCGTGACTAGAAAAAAGTTGAGAAACACTGCTCTAAATAATAAAGGGAGAAATTGATTTTCTATAGTACATTAAAAAAAATATGAACATAACAAAGTAATGACATTCAGGTGGACAGAGGGTCCCAATTTAAAGGAACGGCACACTTGTTTTTCTCCACAGCTACTATAATATATCTAAGCATATCAAGCAAGTTTACAAATCAAACGTTTCACCTTTTTTTGTTGCCCCTGCTGTTCCCTGAGATCTTTGAGATTCTTCACATATCTTCTTTTTTATAGCATTGTTATTTGTTCTTAGAGTCTGCAGTTAAAATAAAATATACTAAAAAAGGTCACAGCTGATACTTGGAAACAGTCATCTGAAATCAAAGGGCCTTCAAACAGAGAAAATAAGGTGCCTTTAACCATAATAAGCTAATGTGACCTGTCATGGAGTTGTCAGTTCAGCACTGTACTTCATTTGAATATGACATGCCGGGCTACACTACATGCACACATTAATGGTTTCTCTTCCCATATCTCCTCTCTAGTCTGCGGCTCACATGTCTCACTACGTTCAGCAGTACAGCAGTCAGAAGAAGCAATTCAAGGCACAGGAATGGTGAGTGAGAATAGTGGAGGGTTCCTTTGGAGCAAAATAATAGTAAAAATGATTAGGTATTTCTGAAGACTCCACGAAAGGAACAAGAGCGCCAGGTGAGCATGGTAAAGGTGAGTATCGGTGTTTTGAGGGAGAGGGCATTCAAGAGAACCTGTCTTTTCAAAAACTTGCTCGTCTGGCAGTGTTCTAGTTTGTCACAACCCGTCAATGTCTGCGTGTGAATGTGGGAGGAAAATATACATAAATGAATGCTAACTAAAAAAAAGTAATGAACCAGCATTCACTGGAAAAAATAACTGAGCAAATCAAGGCAACCTACCACTAAATCTGCATAATTTTACAATGCTGGCAGTATGTGCTGGTGATAGCTTGCATTCATCCATGTGGCCAAAAGCAATGGGCCTCAGTGAGCTTATGAGCTTTAGTCAAAGAGCATGTGTTGCGGTGTGAACAACTTCTGAATAACCTATTATACTGAAATGATCACATATTTCAGTGGCTGTTGCTTTTAAAGATGCAGTATACATTAACAGCCATCCCTAGGGGGGGGGGGGGGTTAGGGGGGGGGGGGGTCGAGGTGCTAAATGCAAGTGTCAAGGTATGATTAGCCTAACACAAACTTTTTATTTCTCTTTGCAGCCCAGAAAAGAAGCCTTGTCAGCAACTTTCCACAGACTCTGAGGCAGATATTGAGGAATTTGCAATCTATGAATGTCCTGGACTGGCACCGGTATGTATATTTAGTGCACATGGACAAAAGGTACCTCTAGGCATGAGCAGGAGCTCAGCCACGCAGGTTCTGGCTGCTTGACAGTTGATCATTATATAGATGTGCAAGTTTACTTTAGGCATGTTTGTGCCTATGGAGAGGGAAGGGGGGTAACTATGTGCACTGAACTGTCTTAGGGGTAACCAACAGCAATCCATTTCTCTCCAATTGTGGAACCTCTGCAGTCATATGAACTCTTCCTAGTCCAAATGCAATCAGCCAAAATGGTATAATGTTCGATAAAGTCTGTAGGCACCTTAAAGTGACACTAAAATCAAGATGCATTCAAGTACCTTAAAGGAGAACTATGGCCTAACCCTTTTTAGCCATAGTTCTCTTCAGGGTCAAAGGAGGACATATACTAATGTCCTCCGGTGACCCAAAACTCAGTATATAGAGGGCTATTGCCTGCTATATGCTCAGAGTGCAGAGCCGCGCCACAGCCGTGACGGATCCCGACAATCCTGTCGAGATCCACCCCACTGGCTGATTGACAGCTGGCTCTGCCTCTCTAGAAACAGAGACAGCTGTGCCTGCCCGCCCTCTCCTCCATCCGTTCCACCAGTCAGCACTGGAAGATCGGAGAAACCCTGTGAGGAGTCACTGCTCTCTGCCGTGAGGGGATCGAGAAGTCCCCCGATCGCGGACTTCCCGATCTGATCAAAAGAGCTAACCTGTGACAGCTTCAGTGTCACAGGTCGGCTTGAATTATGGGGATGAGTGTTTTTCACTCACCCCATAAGTCTCCTTACAGCAACCTGAATTTTGGTTGGGAAAGGCTGGTTTACAACCTCTGTCAGGTTTTTATTACTGGCTATTCAGGGAAATCCCCCCCTCCCTTTGTGGTGGTGACACAGAGACTTAAAGTGAGATTACTTAGATACAGCAGCTTTTACCAAGCTACTACCCCTAAACAAAACACTAACAAACGTTCTACTTTTTCAGACTGGAGAGATGGAAATCCACAATCCTCTTTTCGACCCATCGAGGACCAAGCAGTGATGAAATGCGCCACTGAATGATCTCTGAATCTTATAATCTATATTTATTATAGCTGTATATCTAAAAGTATCCTGTGTGGTTGTTGTGCATTAAACTTTTGATCTAGCTGCGCTGTTAGTGAGCACTGTGTATTAAGACAGGGTAGCAGGTCGCCTTTGATGATTAAGTGTAGACTTCGGTTTGGGCAGGGGTGAACAAATGAATATGGAATTCCAGAGCCAGTCTGACTAATCCAGGAGCCGGTAGGATATTTTTTAGGAGCCAGCTCCACTGGCAACAACTAGTAAGCCACTGATTCAGAACAAGCATGCAGCCAGTGAACTCCTGGCCTACTTCTTGTTACAGGTCCTTGAATGACTAAACAGTAACAGCATCTAAAAATACAAAGAAGGGAATTGAACAAAACTGGAGCAGAAAAAGATCTGGAGCAGCTGTGCATGGCAACCAATCAGCTTCTCTCTTTCATTTTCAAAACTTAACTGAACAAGATGAAGAGAGAAGCTGATTGGTTGCCATGTAGAGTTGCTCCAGTTTTGATAAATTCCCCCCACAGTGTCTGGTTGCTACCTCTAGCTTTAAAATGGATTTACGATCAGAAATTGGTACTCCTTATGCATGTTCTTTTTGTTTAGTCTAGTTGGCCTTAATGGAGTACCATACTTTCCTTACTCCACGGTTCCCTGCATACTTGATAACCTGCCCAAAAAGCCAATTCTGTTCGACAGTTAAGCAGCCACTGAATGGCAACAGAATGCACCTGCCGCACTGTATCCCATGGTAGGTGTGTTGCACGGTAGCATGTGTTAATCACATGGGGAGAAACCTGTCCATTGGGCTGTACAGGGCCCCATGAATTCCAATGGTGGCCCTGGTCATCATGCACAATGCAGGAATAGTGGTCCTGCATTGTACATAATGAAATTAACAGCCTGCCCACATTCTGTCCAAAACACAAGTTAGCTAGAGCACCGGTTGGCGCAGGACCAAGGTTTAAGTTTTTTTTATTATTCAACTTGTTAAAGACCAGATGTAGCCAACCTCGGTAGTCCAGTTATGGTGAAACTGCAAATTCCATCAGGTCTCTGGGAATCATGCCTTTGGCTGTCCTGCAGTGCCTCATAAGACTTGTAGCTCCAGCATAGGTGGAGTGCCGTAGTTGCCTATCTCCGCCCTAGACAAAACAAGCAGTATATTATGTATATGTGAGGGGTTGGGGGCAACCAACACCTCAAGGCCAGTTTTGCCCTTTAACTCTATCACTGAACAGAAGTTATAATTTTTACTGTTTGTGTTAGGTGCAAATTCACACACCTTGACCTACATCATGGGTGGCTTACCACCTCCGACTCATGTACACTAGATACAAAAGCATTTTTCACTTTGAATAAGATCCAACCACTCAATTATTAATAACATTATTTAAACTTTAATAAACTTCAATGCATACAAAAATGAAAATGTAAGAAGTGCTGTCCTTTTTCCACTGATCAAGTATTTTCTCATAACACACATCAGGTTAGATTTTTTTGAGCAAGGAGCACAACTGCAAAATGCCATCTGCTGCAGCCTTTAGATTGGTGACTGACAGCACCATAGCATGTAGATTAAAAATAAAAACATAGATTAAAAATAAAAACAAACAAACCCTTAAGGGCTCATTTACACGGGCCCATGTACCATAAAAACCAGCCGTATCTCTGCACTTGAGAGCCACATTGTGCACAGCCCACCTGTACAACTCTATGATAGGCTGTGGCTACATGGTGGTAAATGCTGCTCTGAGCGCGTACATGCATACAGGTATAGATGTGCATCCCTTGATGCAAAATATCTGTGCCCAGAGGGGGTGTACATCCAATCCTCTACAGATGCAGACACTTGGAGCAGCATTTATCAGTGTGCAGCCAGTCGTTGATTTGTACAGGATGGCTGTACACACTTGTGACCACCACAGGCGCAGACATTTTGCTGCTTTTAGGGTGAATGCACCCTTAATGTATCAGTGTTTAAATTCAGATACCAAATTTCTATTGTGAATGCTGTTCCTCTTTAAAGTAAACCCGACACATTTAAATATTGGAGCTGAAAACAATAAAATAATTATAAGGGCAGCACTCCCATTTTAACATTTGCACTCCTCTGTTTACAACTGTCAGCGGATCTCCATTCAGCTCTATGGTAATGAAAGTTCCTGCAGGACACATTACATGCCAGGGCAGGCCCTGCTCATCAGCCAGGACATACAGCTGTATTTTTAGTTTGTTGACATGCAGACCTGAGCTGGCATGTAGTGCTCCTTGCAGTACCCCCAACACATATAGAGGTTCGCAGGCAACTTTTAAGGTCAGCAGATTGAAGAACATGTGAAGATGTCAGATCTTCAAACCCAGGTAGGGATTAAATGTAACTATGTGCAGGGACATTTTTCTGCTTGTAGTAATATTGTTCTGCTTAGTAATAATTGGCTGAATGAGGAAAAACCGCTCGATTCCCCCATCCATGATAAATAGCATGGATGGATGAATCGCCCCAGCCAGCTATTACATTCTGATAACTGGCACTTGCCACTGTCAAAATATTCCAATAGTGACTGCAGGTGACTGGCTACAGTTATGGTATGGCCATCAACTTTCAGCCCGGCTCCTTCGTCAGAAGTCAATTTCATAAACGACTTTTGTCAACCGAAGTGGTGACAACAGGGCCACACACTGCATGAAATTCGAGCAGTGCATGGCTAGCTTTGCTCAGCAAATTCTCTGGGTGGTTAGCTGCATTGTGGAGCATGTTATCAGACTGTAAAATATAAAGCATTGTTGCTCAAGTCTAGTCCCAGCCTGCAAAACTGAGAAAAAAAAAATCCCTAACAAATAAATGTTTTTTGTAGATTAGTGCAGCGATCTGTTAAGGTGAGTATGGGGTCTGTACAGAGATATATAGCAGCCCTGGATTCAGGCTAAATAACGGGTTAAATAATGCAGTGTATTGAATTCAAGGTACAGCAATAGCCTTACAGTGTACATATCAAGGATGAATCCATCTAAAATAGATTTCTTTTTAGCTACAGGTGTGTACTGCCAACTTGAATCACCCCACCAGCTTACTGCATCTCTGAGGCTCCAGAAGTAATATGTCTCTGCTGGTTCAAGCCCTGCACAGCCAAAATGTGTGCCAAGAGAAATAAGATGACTCTTGTGGCCAGTTGCCTGGCAGTTATCCTGAGCTAGTAGCTGAATACTTTTAGTCACTGACCTGAAACACATACGCAGGCCAAGTGTTCCACCATCACTGGCTGCATACTAATTCCCAGGTTAGTGTTACTGATTGCTTTGAATGTACCACTCCATAAGGTGCAAAGTACCGCTCCGGATCATCTCTCCATATTTCCAATGGAAAAAAGTCACTAAGTTCAGGAAACAGAAATGATCAGAAGCAAAGCATGTTGGAGAGTCTGGTACCAAAGCAGGGGACAGCCAGGCAACTGGCATTCTTTTAAAATATCAGCAATGGTGACCTATACATTTCTCTTTACATAAGTTTAAGGAACCCTGCAGATTCTTGCGGTCTGTTACATTAAGGCATCCCATTCATTTCAAATAGGCTGCCAATGCACCTCAACATCCAAAGCCTTTTCTGTAAAGCTGGCCATACACCTGTCAATTTATTTTGTTCAACTCGCGGGCTTAACTAAAGACATTGACACGATTCCTCTAACAAACACAAACAGCATGTCGATCAAGGAATTGCAGCTGTTTGGATTGTATTCGGACAGGTACCACCGGCACCTGTCAGAATGCCCGATCAGAGCAGGCAGCTCATTTGGCTGCCGGCTCTGATCGCACAAAGATTTTCCAGCAGGCTCCTTCGATCAGCTGATTGAGGAATGCCGGCTGAAAGGGAGGCGACAGCCCCACACACTGTGCAAATTTCGGCCAGTACATTAAAAACCATCCAAAATTCAACCAGTGGATCGGCACCTTTACACACTGTGTCAGAGCGTGCAAGTGTGTGTGTGGTGCACCCCAGCAGGTGTGTAAGGTCTGCATTGGGGTGCCACTCTAAATTATTAGTACTGCAACACACACTGCATGAATATGCATTGTTGTAAAGTCCGTTTTACTGGACTGGAACGCATAGGTCTGAAGGAGGTGCCTTAACCATCCCCAGTGCAATTTCATGAAAAAAAAAATACATAGTTTGTAGGAGCTCTGTGGGAATGATTTATAAAGCTTCCGCCCAGCTGTTTGCACAGCATTCTCAACCCCAAGATGGAGCAGAGGACATTTTTATGCTCCATCTAGTGTTGGAAAAGCCAAGCAAACAGCATTCGCTCAGCATATGCCCGGGCAGATGCTTTATAAACCATTCCACATGTCAAACATTCATACACATGTAAAAGGTTCAGGTCTGATCTCCCACTTAAAGTAGCAAAATGTTCTTTAGTTGCATTAAATACATTTTACAACTTCCTTTGAGATTTTGTTCACACCATGTCTGTTGAACTGCGTTTTTCTGCACACCAACACCCGTGTAAGATGTAAGCAGGGCAACTGAAAACAATGGTTTCCTATGTGCCCTGTTCACATCATACATGTGCTGTGTGGAAAAACACAGCTCAGCAGACACCGTGTGAATGAGCCCTAAAACAGAATCCCCTTTCCATAAGAGTCCTTAATTAAGCAAAATAAATAACCCAGCAAAGTGAAGACAGTGGCCATAAAAAAGAAGGGTCCCCAAGAGATACTAATAACTAATAGGTGATTTAAAGCTGCCAGAACAAATATTCAACTTTGGGGGAACTGACCCTTTAAAGAGATTGTTCAGGAAAGGTTCTAATTCCTGAATCCTCCATTTACAAAATAGGTAGTTTAGTGACTTACAGCACACCTGTCATGTAAGAAATATGGAGGCCGCCATTGCTGGCCGACCTGCTAGTTACCTGGCTGCAAGCATCAGACTTGGAACAAGCATTATACATGTCGAGAAAATGTGTTGGAATTCTCTCTCTATATATACTCTTCAGTTCAATGACTATGAATGCACTAAAATCAGGGAACAAACATTCTCAAAAGTCAGCAATGGCAGCCTCTATAGTCATCCCATGACAGTTGTACCTTAAAGCTTTTACAGCCTCGCTTTCTATAGGAGACTAAAAAAAATATATGTAAGGTTTGGGCTAGGCTCTGAACCCACAACTGCTGAAAATGTCAGGTCCTGTCATGTCTGTGCACTCACAGAATTGACCAGAGGACCATTGCAGCACTTTCTGTTGTCCGGACAAGGCAGTTGATCTCAGATAAGGACCCAGACCTCACACACCCTTGTCTCTTTAGTGAGAGAGTTAAACAAGGGCTATAAATTAATGGATAGAATAAAATAGCTTCCTGGACAACCTCTTTAAAACTCACAGGCAGCTCTTACAGCAGGGCTGGGTGAATCCCAGAAGCCGGGTAGCCAATACAAATTACAGCTGGGACCTAACCTTTGAGGTTTCTCTAGTGGTTGTCAATGGAGCTGGCTTTTGGATTGGGCTGACTGGCTCCTGAATTCCATATTAATTTGTCCACCCCTGTCATACAGCCTGCATATAATGCATTAGCTGGTGCTCAAACCGTTGAGACTGAAAGGTTGTAACATGGGTTTTTTTTGCTACAGCTGTCAAGGGCTGCACCTGTGGACAGAAGACAGGGACTTACAAACTAGAATAAAAGCAAGACAAACAGAAGTAGTAGACAGAAACGTCTATCCCAAGGTCTGGTCACGTGCAACCGCAGTAAAAGTCTGTATCCTGCAGGGAGGTTAGGCTGCGTCCAATGCACACCACGTGATACCAGGAGTCACATCGGTCACACTGCACCCAGCTGACTGTGTCTTCTTGTGGGAGGCTGCAGAAGCGCCAAGCACATGGTTCTGCGCTGGATACGGTCTGCGATACCACCAGAGGAGGAGCTGGATTCTTTCTGGGACGACCACGAGGCTTTCTGAGGATGAGGAAACATTAAAAAAATTAGCCTATATAAATACAAGGCAACAGGAAATATGGGCAATGACATCAGAAAATATTTTCAATTAGCATTTATCAATGCATGAAATCCAGGTACCATTCCTGAGTGAGACACCTGGGTATTCAACAGCAGAATACATTACATAGTCCCTCTTGGCAGTGCTTCAATCACAAGCCAAACACACGTGTGTGTGTGTGTGTGTGTGTTACAAAAGTGCAAAAAACACGGAATTCTTTTTTTATGCAAAGGCCGATGTGTTGAGATATTTCGCAAATTTTTCTTGAGCTTTGACAGGGCCACTTTTTTTTTTTTTATGTGGCACAGCACAATACACAATTGTTTCCAAGAGCCACCTGCACTGCTTACGGTCTTACAACCTCAATATTAGTGGTGCTTATGGTGATCGCACAGTGCAAAACTCCAAGTAATCGCAGTGGGTCACCAGCGCACACAAAGTATAGCTTCAATATTTTGTTGATATGTTTATTAGGGATGCACCGATAACGATACTAGTATCAGTGCCGATACCAAGTATTTGGGTGAGTACTCCGGTCTGAGGGAGATTTTCTCTGACTGGCAGTTCTGCAGGGGAACATGGAGCCAGCTTCCCGGCCAATCAGGAAGCCAGGCAGTGGGTAATGACTCACTGACAGGCTTCCTGATTAGCCAGAAAGCTGTCGAGATGCTGATTGGCCAGGAAACCGGCTTGCCAGCCAATCAGCATGGAGCCAGCTTCCCGGTCAATCATGAAGCCTTGTGGCGGGTACTGAAACGTCTCCTGATTGGCCAGGAAGCCGGCCAATCAGCATCGAGCCGGCTCCCTGGCCAATCACGAAGTTGGCCAGCAGGTAATGACCCGCCTCCCTGATTGGCCGGTTACCTGGCGCGATGATTGGCTGGAGCTACCCAGCCAAACAGCATGGAGCCGGCTTCCCGGGCAAATCGAGAAGCCAGGCAGCAGGTAATGACACGCCGCTCGGCTTCCTGATTGCTCGGGAAGCCGCCTCCATGCTAGCGGAAGTACCAGTATCGGTACTTGGAATCGGTGAGTACCAACATATAAATATCAGTACTCGTATTCCATGCTGAAAAACCGGTATCGGTGCACCCCTAATGTTTATTGAAGAATGTCAAGTCATCACAGTCACTATGTCGCTCTAATGAAGGGTCCCTGCGAGGTCCCGAAACGTTAGCTTCTGATGACAGGACGTGACATTCTTTAATAAACATAAAACGAAATATTTAAACTGTACTTTGTGTGTGCTGGTGACCCACTGCGATTACAGCACAATACACAACTGGTTTACATCTGCGGTGCATTGTGCAGGTGCCATTCCAAATCAATGTCACCACAATGCACAGACAGAGGTTTTCACTTGTTTTACTGCACAGGGGGTCTATTTATAAAGGTTTTCACCCTAGATTCAAACAGCTTTCCTAATTGGAATTAAATCGGGAAAAAAACATTGGTGAATCCTGGCCGAGAGTTGTTTGCCTTAAAAGCGTTTATAGTGTGAATGGGCCCTTAGTGACTTCCCATGGAAAAACTTTGACCCACTTCCATGACTTGCTACAGCTTTACTACTCCATTGAAAAAATGATATCTTTGGTGCTATATTTTGCTTCCCCCACTCAGTACCTCAGATATTGAAGCTGACCTACCAGAGGATTGGAGAATGTTCCCTTCAAATATTCAATCATGTGAAAAGAAAATCCCTTTTTATTTAATCTGCACATGATTGGATAAATGAAGTGTATCTTCACACAATGCATTGTGGGAACATTCTCAAATACTTTGCTACATCAGTTTAATTAGTTGAATATTCATTTATTTATTTATGCACTTGTCAGGTCTTTGTTGCCGTCTTGGTCCTCAATGGGAGGAACTCCCTGCACATCTGGCGCCTGATACAAAGTGGAAATCTGGCCAACATGTTGGAGAATCTCATCCCTGGAAGTTGTCAACGGAGCAGATGTCAGCCACAGCCCAAAAGTTTTGGATGTTCCCTTATTTTCTCTTCTGGTGACAATGGTTCCCCAGACAAATAGCGAGATTTGCAGAGTTATTCACAAAAGGGTGAAGGGTTTGGAGAAGGCAGGAGAAGTGAACAATCTAGGACAACATAGCTGAACTGGAAAGTGAGCTGAATTAGAGAATGTTTCCAGTTCAGCCATGTTGCTACATAGTATTTGAGGTTGAATAAAGACATAAGTCCATCAAGTCCAACCTATTGCTGATGTGTGCGTATGTATAGGTCCATGTGAACCATGTTGTCCTAGATTGTTCACTTCTCCTGCCTTCTCCAAACTCTTCACCCTTTTGTGAATAACCCTGTAGATATCCACAAAGCAGTAAAGCTTGACAGAGGTTCTAACTAGGGATGCACCAAAATAGAATGTTGAGACCTAAACCCGAAAATAAAAATATTTGTCACCCTGAAACAGGGAATGACTTCTTTCCCCCAATCTTTAAAAAAAAAAAAATGTAAACTATAATTATATTTTAATTATTTTTCTTTCACTTTACTGTCGGGGGCTTTAGATTCCCTTTTACAATAGAAAGATAGATTGAAGACACATTCTTGAGTCTGCAAGCTCTTTTTCTGCAGCCCCTGTTATAAATGAACAGGAAGCCTCTATACTGAATGTTCCTGTACAATCATAACATGTGGAGATAGTATGTTTACCATGTCCACAATCATGAACAGGAAGTGATGTAGATCACTTCCTATTCATTCATACATAGTAAGCACACTAGGTCCGGTTATTTACAAACACTCACCGTTCAGCTGATTGGTGACTGTCTGTATACCTGCTCTCAGTCCTGAATCAGTTTCACAGGAGGGGGGTGGGCAGTGGAAGAGAGCTCCGCTTCCTGTGACAGGTCAGAGCACTCTCCTCCAAATCACAGGAGGCAGAGCCGGGAGGTGTGGGAGAACGCCGTCTCCTGTGACAGATCACAGCTGTCACCGCCCCGCATCTTGACACAGGAGGTGAAGGAGAACTCCGCCTCCTGTGACAGATCACAGCTGTCCCCGACCTAGACCACTCTCCACCCTGAAACAGGAGGCCGAGCCAGGAGGAGAGCTCGGCCTCCTGCAACAATGTCAGCTGTCATCGTGCAGTGCCGCTCGCCATCCTGAAAGCTTCTATCCTCCCCGCTGAGTGACGGCGCTGCATCGGAAAGCACACAGACGGGTGCCCAGCGTGAGGAGGGAAGCTGGAATACACTGAATTTTCGCCCACATTGCACTTTCGGCAAATTGCCAAAAGTGCCATTTTCGGCCCAAAATTTCTGTGCATATCTAGTTTTAACCACTCCTAGAATAAAGGACGCAGTTACATTTTCTTACTTCCTAAAGAAAATGAGAAGAAGCAGATCCAGCTAAAGGACAGGGGAGGAATACAGAATGTTTCCTAAACAAGAAAGGATTTAGGACGAGTACAGAGCAAGAGATTAGAAGGAACAGGGAGAACAGAGAGACAGAGAAACTAATGCTGGCCATACAAACTTCAGATTTCTCTCTTAATCCACGAGGATGGTTTCTAAAAGGCCGCTGGAGATGATAAAAATCACTGTTAGTCAGTGCATGTCTCTTCCAGCTGTGGCTCCCCCTCTGCACACCAAGCACAGGGGGCTGCTCAATGGGCATCACCACTATTCAGAGAATCGCCTTGGATATTTTTAGTGTATACAGGGCATTCCCTGATGAGGTGGAGATTGTGACATCCATCCCTCCTCTCTGCCATGCCCAATCAGAAAATGCCTTGTATGGCAGCGGTAGCAAACGATCGACTCCCTGTGCAGAGGTCAAGCCGCTGGAGCTGCACCCAGAAGAGATCAGCACTGGCTGTACGCAGCGCAGACTACTACAGTGATTTTAAGCCTCCCTAGAGGCCCTCCAGAGATCAGATTGGGATACGTACATTGCTCCATCTTAGCTAAATGCAAGTATCCATAACAGATCATTCCTGGAGTTCAGCTTCAACTCTTAGAGCTGACATCTAGGGATACAGTGGTAAACTTGAACAGGGCAACTTTCCACTTTTAATATGCCATACATTGATTAATCTCACCTTCCAAAGTCAATCGGTTGGGCAACTCGCTTCTCATCCTCCTTCCGCCGCCTCTTTCTTTTCCGCTTTCCTTCCTCCACCTGCCTGTCCTCCTCATCTTCTTCCAGCTCACACAGAACCTTATGTTGGGCCTTCCTGCGGCTGCTCCTTCTTTCCAGGCCTGTGCGGGAGGGCAGAGGAAGGTTCGGAGTGGCTGGTTTGGCCAGCTCTACTGTTCCTCCTATCAGACCTCCGCTGTGCATCCTCTCCCGCTTCATCTTACTGATGCTGCCAATGGAGTTCAAGATGACCGTGGCTCCGGTTGTGTAGTGAGGAGACCCTCCACGGTCCCCACCCAGACTTCGCGTGCCCAGAACTGGCATGAATCCGGGAAATGTTGTCCGAGCACGGGGCGATGTGATGGCTGAAAAGTCCAAAGGCCGCACACGAACCCGCTGAAACAAAAAGTATGTGTCTGGAGATTGAGATGGGGAGGAAGGTGGAGAAGGCCTTTCTTGGAAGCGCAGGAGGTCTCCATCTGACAGTTCTAGAAGCTGTCCCCGCTGTAGGAGAACCTCATTTATGTAAATTCCTAATGGGAAAAACAGAACAAAAAGGTGTCTAGGTCAAGCTGCATAAGGTCAGATACACACAGGGTCAGATCTATACAGTCACTCAGATGTACTCATAAAATAGCTAGGAGTAGAAAGTTGGATAGTCCACTTGTGGTGGTAGCTCCCCCAGTAGTAGGTAGCAGCCGCGAGGGCAAAGGGACAGGTTTTCTTCATAAAGCTCAAAAAAAGTGCACCGCCTAGGACAGCCCATTGAAATGAATGGGCTGCCCTATGCGCAACAATGCAATGCCCAGGTAGAGGAGGTACTTAACCCTGTGCAAGGTTTAGATTTTGCTTCACTGCGGGCGTTGCAGTGGTGGGGAAGCATAAGGAAGGTAACCATCAGTAAGTAGATATGCCCCATCAAGAGGCTCTGCCAGTTTGCCTTGAATGGTCAAAGTGACAGATGCTCTCTATCTAAGAAAAGTTTTCAATGGCTGAGCAGAAGTCAAAAGGTGGACAACAAACAAAAGGCCTTCACAATGAACAGTGCATGGAGCAAGGCAACCATAGTGACCAATCGATTTACTAAAATTGGGCTAGCACAAAATAGATTTTGATTTGCTGGGATTGGTTTTTACACTTTGTTCTTCGCACTGGCTTACTGGAAGCCTCTTTGACACCATGGAAAGACCAAGTGTGCATAAAACCCCAAAAGCAGTTGTAGAGGGACCAAAACAGGAAGTCAGTTCAGATGGTCAGGCCCATCGGGAATGGAACACCCACCGACAAAGTTGTCTTCGACACAAAAAAATGGACACGGTTGAACATTTCAACCAATCAGGTTCACAGTAAACAAGGCATCCGATTGGTTACTTTGGATAACTGCTTCACTTTGGCTCCAGTTAGGGGTTTCAAAATGGAGATCGTAGAGTTAGGACGGCCAATACAGAAAAAGGAAATGGATGCTGAAGTGCCAAGACAGACATACACATGAAGATACTCACCAGTGCTGGTGCAGCTCTCCAGGTTGACCCTCCATTCTCCACTGGGCTCTCGTTCCGCGTGGATCTCCGCATGGACACAAGCTTTCCCCGGCAAGGGAACATCACACATGTCGTGACGGGCTCCCAGCCGATAGACACATCGCGGTGAGTCAGGGAGGAAGGTGTAGAGGTCTTGGGAAGAGGTACTTTGTGAATTGGAGGCAGGCGCCGGACCCAGGTCTGAACCCATCCGCAGCAGCTGGAAGCAAGGCTGCACTTGGGACATGGAGGCCTCTGACCCCACCATGATGGCTGGGTGGCACGGCAATGGTCTTGATGACCCTGAAGCTCCTTGTTCTGCAAACAACTCCCTAACACAATAACCCCTTCCACCCCCAAATGCTCAAAATGGGGCTTCCTGGAAGCTTTGATCTTGCTGAAGTCCAGGTCCCAGAAGCTGATCTATGATCCTCAAAACCCTAACATAACCTTTGACCCCATACCACCCCTTGATCCCCCAAGTATAAAGTGGGTGTGGTTTCTATCAATGATGACGTCACTAAAACTTATCACTCTGACCACAGATGTGATCTAATGAGACCCTTCAGATTCCAGTGGAATCTACCTCCTGGGATTACCCCCCCACCTGAGGCTAGGAGGGTGAGGAGACCCCCGCCCGTGACGTCACTACGGTCACCGATCCACCGGTAACACCTGTGGTCAGCGGCGGGAAAGCAGAAGGAAGGAAGCGCGCCTTTGAAATTTGGCGCGTTTTCCTTAGCTAGGACACGCCTTCTCGCCGAAACCCCACCCACTCCCAAGCTAACCTTATGTAGCTGATAACGCGCCAACCACGCCCACCAGCGCGTGATTGGACTGAAAAACCGCGCCCTTCCCTTAGCGGACTTAGGCGGAGCTACGGCTTAATTATGCCTTTCCGCTGTGATTGGCTAGCCTTGCCTTCTTTGCTGTGATTGGGCCGAGTCATCTAGTTACGCCCTTCGTTTGCTCAGACAGCGCGCCGATTCTGCTGACGCGTTTGATTGAATGAACTTTATTGACACGAGCAGTTAGAGCAGCGTTGTTAGACTGTGGCCTCGGTTGCTAAGGGAGGGAAGTGGAATGACGGGTGCAGTTCCCGGGCTTGTGGGCCGCCTGAGTACTGTGTGTGCGGGAGGGATAGACAGGACAGGGTAACTGCATGTGCAGAGAGGAGGGCAAATGGAAGGTAAGAGTCAGCAGCGCCTTCGTTATTTTCAATTAGTTTTGGGGAACCCATGACCCATTAACAGAGGCTAACTTTGAAAGCTAGTTAAAAGTAGAGCAGTTGCCCTTGGCAACCAAATTGTGGCGCAAATGAATTGGTTGATATTGACAACAGTTAGGCATGGCAGTGGACAGAGTTGTGTGAAAGACCAAACTGCAGCCAATGATCTGTCATGTTGCAATGGTGATGTGAACTGAGCTGGTGCCTGGTTGGTTGCCATGGCTACTGCACTTCTTTACTGAAAATGTGTATGTAAAGCAGCTTACCACACCTTAGAGTTCATCTGATTAGTTTTTCTTTTTTCAGGCTTTGATTCATTTTGACATGTGATCCTGCTAATAACGCATTTCCTGTTCTAGGGTGACCACGTTCTGTATATTGTATCTATGGAGGATCAGTGTTGTCACCGTAGGGCAGGATTACAAACGCCTACCCCCTCCTCCATAACACCAAGGGGATGGGTTCTGTTGTCCTCAGGTAGAATCCCCCCACCCGCTTTAATCTAAAACTGGAGCAGTTGCCCATGGCAACCAATAAGCTTTTCCCTGCAGTTTGTTCACTTAAGCTTTGAAAATTAAGGAAATTGGTTGCTACAGGCAACTGCTCTGTATTCTGTCTGCTCCAGTTTTGTTAAATGAAAACCATTTTAATGCCCCCTTCAGGCATGTTGCCAGTGGAGGGAATCTCCGGATGTTGCTGCTGGAGTAGCCAGCCCTATGGACACATTGAATTAAATTTATCAAAACTGGAGCAGTTGTATGTTCAGTCCAACCTGCGCCTGGGGCCTCTGACCAGCTGTGAACGCGGACAGTCTGCATCTAGGGCTGGTGGTCCTGGAAGCAGATAATGGTCCTGTGGGGATTAGTTGCATCTCAACTCAGTAGACGTTCCTCCCGTGTGGATGATCCCTAACAGACCAAAAGGGAGAAAATGAGCCAAGTTCAGTTTCTGTATTCTGTATACTGTGAGGTTGGCCACTGTAATGAGGGACGCCCACGGTTGGCCCGCAGTCACTTACTAGTAATTGCTGCCCAGGGGATAAATGGAGGGCAGAATGTTATAACAATTCATTTCTTATAGTAGCACAATGCTCCAAATCTGGACCATCGATGGCTACTATGTGCAACTGTGTGTAGCAAATATTTGTGTGCATCCCAGGTTATGGGAGCGCTCCCACCACATAGGTGCAAACAGCCCTCATACTTCCCCCTTCAAAAGCACACTGAATTGCAACACACAGATGTGAACCAGCCGCACAAGAAAGAATGAGAATGCTACTTGAAATTTGTCATCAAGCAGCAAATTCTTGCGTCTTACTGCCGGTTATCGGACCGCTGTGATCTCCGCGCTCAATGTTTATTGTGCTCAGTCCTACTATATCATACTATATTATCATACGATAGTTGGGGGTGATCCCGCGATCGTACGATAATCGGCAGGTGTATGGGCTGCGTGCGACCCCTTTGACTGTGCGGTCGCACGACTTTCGTCTTCCGAGCACGCTGGAAAACCTGCCGAAAATCGTACGATTTTCGGCTGGTTAGTGGCGTGCTCGGGAGACAAATGCCACACGGGCCGGTGTGCGCAAGTGCATACTGGCCGCTCAGCACTGCAATCATCGGAAGCCCTCCCCTCAGTGGGGAGGGCTTCCGATGATTGCAAGTACGATCTGCCTGTCCACGATGGGCAGGATGTCCGAAATTTTAATCACCTTACAACCATGGCACAACGAAAGTCTTGTGATGGTTATAAGGTGTATGGGCAGCTTAAATGAGGCATCTGTCAACAAGCAGTTACTTAGCTGGGGCTTCTGCAGTTTCCTCCCAAACTGAAGCTCCTTACTAAGGTACAGAGTTTTGCTTTAAACTTCGCTCGCAAATGGCAAGCAATCATTGGTCAGCCCGGTCTTCCGGTTTGTAGATATTACATGTGTAGAAGATGATCAATTAAATATATTATGTGCTGGATCCTCTTGTAGAATGTTTCTCTAAGAAGCTTGTGATATGTTTCTTTGCAGCATTATATGGAGCTGAAGTCTGTATCGTCTGTTACTGACAACGCGTTCTAATAATCCCAGTCTGTGCATTGTACTGAAGAGTGATGGAGAAGAAAGGGCTGAACCCGGCTCCTTTGTTCTTGCCTCCCACAGGGATGGGTAAGTGAGGGAAGCGATTACCATCATCGATGGGTCAGAATTCACTTTCCATCTGTTATCACAATTTTTCTTATGGATGGCAGAGGAGGCTGTTTGCATTGCAGGAAACAGACCAGATTTTTAGTAACAACCAAGATGTAGCTCTTCTTGTTTAAAATAAGAACTCCAGAATTTTTTTTCAATTTAACCTCTGCAGTGGGGCTATCCCCGCACTGCAAGGGTTAAGTGCTCGTTCTTGCCATAAATATACTCACCCGAAGCTCCCAGTCGGCTGTCTGTGACAGAGCTCCCTCCAGCCTGTATCCTCCTCCTCCGCACATTGGAATCTTCCTCAGCGTCCTCACATCTATACACAGTATACAGACGTGACGATTTATGGGACCTACAGCCCCTGTAGAGGAGAGAGACACTGGAAGAATCGGTCTAAGAAGCTGGCCATACACCTATAGAATTGGCCCAGCGGGAGATTCCTCCATCCTCACAGTTTAGCGTAGATGGAGAAATCTGTTGCACTTTTTCCATCTGACCATAGAAAGTCTGCAGATCATCTATAGGTGTATGGCCAGCTTCTTAGACCGATCCTTCGGTCTAAGAAGCAAAACACGTATGGGATTCAGTTTTTCTCTTTCTTTTCTTCTAATCACCCACGGTGATTGCTTTAGGATATTTTGATTAAGGATGCACCGATAAATCAACAAACAAATGCTGAAAGTTCAATTTTCTGCCGATACAGCGGCACATCCCTGCTTTCTTTCCTCCTCTGTGTCCCAGCGGGGAAGAGAGAAACTGTGACAGCTGGCCGAGCCCTGCGGGAGGAGAGCGCTGGGAGCGGCCGGCATCTCTCCTCCCACACCGCTCAGCCTCCTGTCGCAGAGCAGTGTGGGGGCGGAGACAGCACGCGCTTTCACAGGAGGCTGAGCTCTCCTCTCACCTCCTGTGACAGCTGTCAGGATGGAGAGCGGGACAAGCAGTCAGGGATCAGTGATCGCTGAGTGTTTGTACATAATTGAGGACATAGTATGGTTACTATATCCTCAATTATGAATGAATGGGAAGTGACCTAAATCACCTCCTGTTCATTCATAGTCGTGGTTATAGTAAACATACTATCTCCAAGTTATGAATGGACAGGAACACTCAGTATAGAGATTGCTGTTCATTTATAACTGGGGCTGCAGAAAAAGAGATTGAGGACTCTGTGTTCTCAATCTTTTTCTATTTTAAAAGGGAAATATCAGGGGTCTGTTTAGACCCCTAATATTTTCCCTGAGCCGCTAAAAGTAAAGTAAAAAATATTTAATAAAAAATGAATAAAAAAATAAAAAGTTTATAAAAAAAATAAAATATTATTTAAAATTTGAAAAAATTAAAAACATATTTGGTTTTGGCCTGACATTTTTATTTATTTCGGTGTCGTTTTGGTTTTGAAATTTCCATTTCGTTGCACCCATAGTTTTTGATCTTGAAAAATCCTTCAGTATTCCCGCATATCCACCACACAAATATAAAAAAAAACTCGTAGTGTAAAACCAAAATAAAATTTTATTAGCTGCAATCTAGCACAATGCAAATTCTTAAAAGAAGACTCCACTTTACAGGTTGTCCCAGCGATCTGCTTGTATGGCGATTTCCCAGCACACATACAAAACGTTTTACTTTTGTAATATATTTTTTTGTTATAACTTTGGTCCAAATTGTTCATTTTTCTTTTCCAGATCGCACTGGGCTGATCCCTCCTTCACACTTTGAAATGCGTAGACCGGGGTCGACTCCTCCCCCTTTAGTTCCCAGTTCTGCGCCATCAGCTGATTCCCAGGCCTGGGCAGAACTGAAAAAAGAACTGGAAAAACTGAAACAGGAAAATGAGGCGCTAAAGATAAGGCAAGACAGAGGAGATGGACCACGGGCCAGGTATGACTGGTTTATTGCAACAATATCTGTCCCAGGTTCATCTTCAAGAACACTTTAAAGCAACATTTCAGGGAAAACAACAAATCTTTTTCCACTTCTGACTTCCCCATTGGAGCTTCCATTAATGAGTAGTCTGCATGCACATTTTAAACACCAAAATGCCTTACTTTAAATTTTTCAATATTAAACCTCATCTGCCATGTAGTTCCCCACTCCCCTATTTTATCCTGTAATGTTGCCATGTCTAATCTCGAGTTTTATTACTCTGCACATTTTTGTATCGTCAGCAAACACGGAAACGTGGCTATTAGGGCTTCCTGCAATATCATTAATAAGCAGCTCAGTTTTGATGCCGATCCATTGACTTAACCTCCATGGCGGTATTCCCGAGTGTGGATCGGGGTTAATTTTCTGTACCATAAGCGGTAACCCCGAGCCACACTCGGGAATACACAGCGCGTCTCTTACCTTGTCCCTCGAGCTGTGATGTGTCCTCCGGCCGCGTGTTCCGTCCCTTCCGAGCGTCCGTGTCGCAGGGGGGCGGAACCGGCGGGAGATTCAAAAGTTAGAGGAAAACAAATAGAACGAGAAAAGGAAGAAAAAAATCATACCGCCAGGGAGGTGAAATGTTTCCACGTTCAGAACAACTATACAGCCAGTAAGAACTCCTTATCTGTGTATTAGTTCTGGATCAGTGACTGAAAGCTTGCAAGTCAGAGGATCAGCATGACTACCTAAAAACTAGGCTTCATATTTTGTAATTGTTTATGACAGGACTCTGGATTATCTTTCTTCTGATGTCCCACCTACTGAATCACGGGCTCTGGAAATTATCGCCCATCAGATGAGAGAGATCCGCAAACTGGAACTGGCAGTAGCTGATGCCCACAAAAAGGAGGAGGCCCGGCAGCGGTTGTTGCAGGAAGTGCAGATATTAAAGGAGGAGCGCACAGAGGCTGAGCAGAGAGAGGAGAGGAGGAAGCAAGAGGAAGAAAGGAGAAGGCAATTGGAAGAAGCTGCAGAAAGGAGGCGGCAGGATGAGGCAGGTGTTGGCAGTAGTTGTTACTATGCCGTAACATTTCAGATGATTCATAGTTATGTCATTCTACAATATGCAGATTTGTGTGTGTGTGTCAGGGGTAGTTTTGCTAATGGTTTATGAAAGGACACAGCAGACTGTGGTATAAAGACCCAGGGGAGTCAGAGCACTGAAGAACCAAAAGATTATTGACAGTCTATTGATGGGGATCTGACATCCCTATGTTTTGTTTATGGCTAAAAAAAAGTCACCACCTGGGCAGGGTTATGATCTGGGTTGCTTCAGTTGGTCAGGTCTAAGTTAGGCAACATTATGTACCCAAAAACTTAGGTCAGCTGTCTTCCTGTATACACTGAATGACCAGGTTTTTCCATCAATGGATTTTTTTCTTCCCTGATGGCACATTGGGCATATTCCAGGATGCCAATGACAGGATACATCAGGCTCATATTGTGAAAGAGTGGTTCTGGGAGCATGAGACATAATTGTCACATATGGATTGGCCACCACAGAGTCCGGACCTTAACCCCATGGAGAATCTTTGGGATTTTCTGGAGAACACTTTACGCAGAGGTGCAAGGTCCCATCATCACTACAAGATCTTGGTGAAAAATGAATACAACTCTAGATGGAGATATCAGCCTGCTATTGCAATTTAAAATAGCCAATAGCAGGCTGGCTATTGCTCCCAGCCACTGGATGGGAGACTTGACGCTGGCTTTCTACCACCGGCAGAAGAGGGGGCCCGGAGGCAGCAGAGAAGGAACCGGGCACCGCAGCAGGGGAATGCAGAGGCACAGCGATCTATATTCCTGCTGGCTGCAATGCTCTGTGTCCCTTCTAAAGGGGACACAGACCGCAGCATGCAGCGGCTCCCAACGAGGAGGAGCATGGTGGAGCAGAGTGGCGATGTGAGGGGGAAACATCGAATCGGAATCAACTAATCGATAATGAGTATCGTTGGCACTTAATTTTTTTGTGTACTACAGATTTACTCCCTGGGCCTGTCAAAACCTCCCCTATCGGTGTATTTAGCATTGGTTGAGTACTCCGCTATGTGTAAAAGGACCCAGAATTGACATTGACTCTTTCTGTTCCTTTTTGTTCAGCTTCTACTGTTGTCAGAGCAGCACAGAATGCAGTTAGATACCCTGAGAGGCCAAGTGAGTGAATTGGAGATGGCGCTACAGGAAGTACAGAAGCAGAAAGTACAGGAAGTCGCATATCTAAGAGAAGAGCTTCAATCAGCCAATGAAAAGAGAGTGAATTTGGAAAATCAGTTGAGGTGAAACATATAACATTATCTGCTTTATTTCATTGCTTGGTGGGGAACATTTGTTTTATTTTCTATATTGCAGTATTACTTTAGAAGCAAAAACTTTATGAGATTTCCTTGTGAAAATTCTGCCTGTTGTCTTGCTGATCCATTGGCTTTAAGTAAATAGCTGAGAACAAATATAATGAAGTTCTGACTTCATTATGACCTAACGTGTTGCATGCTTGCTCCAGGTCAGCAACTCATAAAACATTGACTAGGCTAGCATGTTTGCAAACTGGTCAGAAATGGCAGCCTCCATATTTTTCTCAATACAGATCATCTAAGCCAGGCAGTTAGAGATTATTATTTATTTTTTTTTTAGTCTGTGCTTGGCCTACTTTGAGATCTTTGTGTCAGTAGGATGCGTGCACTGTCTTTACCTGCCCTCACCATTGCATTCTCAAAACTGGCACATTAAGCGGGTCTGATTTTGACCTGCTTAGCAGAAAAGAGAAGAAGTGGCCACATGCACACAAAGGTGGTTCTCTATGTATACAATGTGTAGACCCACAGGGATAATCATGACTCTGTTTTCTTAGTCTGTGTTGATTTTCTAAAATTGCTCTGGGTTATGTTATATAGTTGGTGTTGATGCAGGAAGTGCTTAGCCGAGTTGGTAAAGAATGTTAAAGTGACTCACATATTACTTGTCTGTCTTTTATCCCTTGTAGCCAATCACACATCGAATTGGAGTCGCAGAATTCTTTAGTTCAGCAGCTAAGGACCTATATAGGAGAGCTTGTACCGGATAATCGCCACACCGAGGAACAGAGGAGAGAGATAGCGGAACTCAAGAGTACGATTCAGGTTCGGCGTTCTGATGATGTCAGATGTTTGGTTGGGAGCAGTATGTTTCCAGTGACTTCTTAGATTGTGTAATAGCATTAATCTGTTTAGTTGAACCTTACTGATTCTCTGCCTTAGTGTAATTGTTAGCCTAATTCTAACCATACGGCTGTCATGCAAGGGCATTCATTTGTGCATGCTTCCTGACCGCCATCAGGTTGTGATCTCTGCAGAGAGCTTTATACATTTAACCACTTGAAGACCAGGTGTTTACACCACCTTCCTGTCCCCGACATTTTTCATTATTCAGAGCTGCGGTACTTTGACATGTATTCCGTCACACAACGTTGTACTGAAATTCATTTTATACCATTTTTTTGGGGACAGAGATTTCTTTTCGTGGTATTTATTCAACACTGTTTTTTTTTAAAAACTATATTAACTACCTCCGGGCCGGCAGTAGTAAAAAAAACGGCCTGCCGGGAGCTCTCTAGATCTGAGCGGGCGACATGCCCCCCTCGCGCGTGCCTTGCAAACATGCGTCAGGTGCGCATGCCTGCGAAAACGACGATTGCGCCGCACATGTTACATATCACCGCGAATGTCACAGTGAGAGCAATAATTCTAGGGCTAGCAATCACTGATAAAACTAAACTGATGAGCGCTAAAAGCTTTTAAAGCGTCGCCTATGGCCAATTTTGGGTATGGTAGTTTTCTGCGATTTCGCGGGTGTGCGCAATTTTAAAGCTTGACATGTTTGGTGTCTATTTACCCGACGTGACCCCGTCTTTTATATTTTACCAAAAAAACTGGGTAATAATGTTTCAACATAATGTAAAAAAAAACAACTTTTTTTTTTCAAAATTTTCTGTAATTTTTCCTAATTATAGTAAAAAATAAAACCGCCAGTGGTGAATAAATACCACCAAAAGAAAGCTCTATGTGTCCCAAAAAAATGGTATATAATTCATTTCAGTACAACGTTGCATGACGGAATAAATGTCAGTCAAAGTACCGCAGCGCTGAACACTGAAAAATGGCCTGGCCAGGTAGGGGGTCTAAACACCGCAGACTTCAAGCACTTAAAGAAAAATTACTAAAAAATTTTGAGAAAAGTTTTTTTACATTCTGTTCGGAAACATTTATTATTACCCAATTTTTTGGTAAAACATAAAAGACGGGGTCGCGTCGGGTAAATAGACACCAAACGTGTCAAGGCTTCAAATTTGAGCGCACCTGCAAAAACGCAAAAAAACTACCATACCCAAATTGGCCATAGGCGACGCTTTAAAAGCTTTTACCGCTCATCAGTTTAGTGTTATCAGTGATTAATGGGAGTGGGAGCAATAATTCTAGGGCCATTAATCACTGATAAATGGCCCTAGAATTATTGCTCCCACTCTGACGTTCGCTGCGATATGTACCGTGTGGCGTTATGGGCGCAATTGTCGTTTTCGCACGTATGCGCACCCGAAGCATGTTTGCATGCGTGTATGTTTGGGTGGGGATTTTAAAAAAACAAAACACAAAATTGTTTTTTATTTTTTTTCATGTGTGACTTTTTTTTTTTACAACTTTAATTTTGTTTCCTAATTTTTTTTTTTTCACTTAACTTTATTGTTATCACATAGGGGGCTAAGAAATCCCCCTATGTGATAGCAGGTCCTCTTTTTGGAGACATCAGGGGTCTCCAAGACCCCTAATGTCACCTAGGGACCCCCAAAGAAGCTGATGAAGCAGAAATCTCTATAGCCTGCGGATCGCTTGTATGTAAACATGACATCGCTGCCTGTCTTTTAAATTTGGGTAGTTTCCCGCTTGCGTGAGTGGGCGGGGCCAACAGGCCGTCTTTAGACGGCCACTCGCATCTACGAAGCGCTCGGCCGGCCGTTTTCTTACAAAGTACGGCCGGTCGTTTTCTTACAACGGCCGGCCAGAAGGCGGTTAAGGTTGGCTGTGAATGGTGAAGGAAGGAACGTAGCAAGGCTATTGCTGCCTTACTGGGGAAAACAAAAACAATCAGTACAGGTTCTCTCTTTCTCTTAACTGTGGCTAAGTTGGGCATCTCCATTAGCGATTGGGTGGTGATGTTATCGAGTAACTGTCATGTTCTGCTTATAGAAGAAAGAGACATTAAGTTTTAAAAGAAGATTCTATGGAGTTTTGGGTATTATATAGATCTGCTTTATTTATCGCATCAAAGTACCAATGCATTTCAGGGGTCAGACACGCACTCTTCAGGACTATGGTAAAGCACAAAGCGCAGTATACCACAATAAGAATAGTATCACACCCAACGTTCCAACACCGGAATCCTGGTATCTGTAGACCAAAGGGAGCCGTCTACAATTTGTCTACTACCAATTTCAATACTAAGCTTACTAGACACTATATACTTCCAGGCAAACAAACGGATCATGCACCACCTTCCACACACCTCTTGATCTTATGTTTATGGGTACATGATGCCTGAACCCTGACTTTACAATACACAATACTAACCTGTGAGGGAGACAACCCAGGTGAGATCCTCTCCATGCAAAGGGTGGGGATTGCTAGATACTGAAATGTTTTACGTTGGAATGTTTACATCTGTGTCTCTGGGTTTTTCCAGACTCTGGAGAAAGAGCGAGAAGCTTTGCAGACCTCCATGTCTCTCCTGCAGACTCGTCTGTCCTCTCTCACACACATATTGTCGCTACAGGAAAGCGATCTCTGCAAAAAGGCAGTAAGTCATTTTATGAGTTAATCACTTGGCTTTTGTTCTGACAATATAAAGCAATAAATGGAATGTATATAGTCTTTTAATGTTTTTATGTGACTGTAAGAAATCTTATGGAGGCTGCCATTGTTGACCACTCCTTGTGAAAATGAAAGTTGTCTGGCGGTCCTGCTGACACATTGGCTTCAGTATTTTAAACTCTGGGGTGGATCAGCCTCAGATTGCTGGTTCCAGTTCCTCCCTTAATACATCGCTTCCCACAGATATATGAAGCAGATAGAAATGAGGAGGCACGCCAATGACTTTACACAGAATTTACATTTAGCATCCAGTACATGTTACCTGTTTCGGATAATACATCGCTGGTCCAGAACGAGTATACGGAAGAGGACTTCTAACCTTACTCTCACATTCCTGATCTGCATACTTGTTTGGCCACTTGTTTTGGGTTTTTACATTCCAGCAGCATGAAATACATACCATTAGAGTGACATTAAAGGCTAATTTTTTTTTTTCCTCCACCCAATGTTAGTGTCAGGACTTCCCTTAAATGATGCCTCTTTATTAGATCATTTTCTTTACT